TATTATTATTATTATTATTATTATTATTATTATTATTATTATTATTATATACTTTATGAAAACAAAGATAATAACAATGGACACAATCTTAAGTCCAGCCATATGACAAAATCAAATGAATTAAGAACTTACAGCATTATACATACACACACACACACACCAGAAAACAAACACTGAATGGGTTAAAACAGATGGATATTTTACATCTTTTAGAAATCTGTGTAAATATGCAAGGAGATATTATCTGACATTTTGGAAAGGAAACACTAAGCAGATGGGGCACTGAGTTATTAGCACAAATATGCTGGATATGGCAGACAAATTGATACTGAAAAAGCAAGGGACAGGAAAGTAATAAATGGAGAAAAAAGTCTGAAAATAAGTGAGATACATCTGTTGACTGTTAAGGCCCAGCTATGTGTGGCATGTTGCTCTTCTGACATCTATTAATCATACCAGAAAGTACACCTGATAAACTGGATTCAGGTACCCTTGAAGCTTGTTAATATTCTCTTGTACTGATAATTACATTAGAAATTGCAATAACAAATGCTGAAAACTTGGAGAAAAGATCAAAATTGACAGATTCTAGTGATGTTAAGATGCACTCCTGTAAACAAGAGCTAGAAAATATGTTATTAGTCATTTTTATTTGCATGTAAAGCTAGTGGTAAAATTACCACTTTATCAATGGGTTTTTATGTTGAAGAAGCATGAATTGGAAGCATGGTGCAGAACAATAAAAATAAAATTATGTTTGGTCCAGCAAATACTGATATATTGGACTCCATTATGCTTTTTGAAAAGGAGCTGTCTACTTCAAGCAAATACTGCTGAAGAAATCTAGATAATGCTTTCTTTTGGCTTATATGTGGGTGTGTTCAGTGACGTATTTTTGATTGATGTATTGCAAAGTATTGATTTTGTATTGTAATTTTTTGGCATTTATAGACACACATGCCCTTTTAAATGATATCCCTATGATGTGAAATTTAACAGGTGCTCAGTGTGACTGGATCCTGCATGTTTTAAGTGTTACTTGAAGTTGAAATCTATAGTGTTTCTTGAAATTGGCATCTATAATAATACACACTCGCATAGCTGAAATAGTGACTTGTACAACAGATGAATAATGTGTACTTTTTATCATGGTTGAAAAATACACATTATCCATCTATTCCTCAAGTCACTATTTCAGCTATGCGAGTGTGTATGTATTATAGATGCCAACTACAAGAAACTGTCATCTTATATTAATGCACATCCTTGTCCATATCCTATTTACGTTCTCTTCACTGTCTTTCTGTCATCATACTTGAAAATTCAAGATGGACACAGCATCACAGAACACTCCCCAATCAGTAATGTTTTCATTCCAGATACTTGCAGATTGTATTCTAGTTCTCTTAAGATGGTTCCCCACTCTCCTCCAAATCTCTTTCAATGGGAAAACCAAGTAGGGGGAGACAGTGAGTTGTGCACCATAATGCGTGTGGGACATGTATTTGTTATGAACTGAGATACTGCATAAGGTAACTATATTCAAGACTTTTACCTCTCCTACAAACAATAAATAGAACTAGCAGTAGTTATATATCCCCAACTGAAATAATGAAAAACTTCTGGCCTCTGGGTTACTATTGAAGCTTCCCCATTCCTCCAGCTTAAGCCCATCCAAAGGCCCACACCTTTCCAAGAAGAAGCGGGGAAACAGAAGCCAATCTGATTGGGAGCTGCCTTTTATGATTCTTGGACCTCCTTGCCTTCTTCACATGTACTGTGATGGAACTGCAGTGTGTTGAAGAATAATTGTATAACAGTATTCATTACCACTCTTTTTTCCCATCAGGAAAAATGGGAGACAGTGACTTCATTAGGAGCTTATCTTTCAAAGCCCCAAACAGCAGATCCCTCTTCACTGCTGCTCAAAGATCATTCCATGCTCACAATTTTATTTATTTATTTGCATTATTTCTACCCCGCTCATATCAGCCCGAAGGCGACTCAGAGAGGCGTACACAATAGGAACAATTCGATGCCATAAAAATACATACATTGATAAACAAAAAGAACCATTATAGTGCACTTAGACATAAGACTAAATTTCTACAATACAAGTAGGCAACACATGATCCATGGATTACACACATAGGCAAACTGCCCATCTTTGTAGCCTCCAGAGGTCTCCTCACTGAATATGCCCTTCTGCCTTTTTGTTTTTTTCAAGAAAAATAGCATTCCTAGAAACATCCAGGGAGCACAACTGTCTTTTAAAACCAAGTGCACACTCCTCCGATGCATTGTTTAAATTGATAATGTGTGTTATTCCAGCCACAAATGGACTTCTTTAATTTCTGCAACCCAGTTTTGGAACTGCAGCAGGAGTAGGAAGAGGGTGGAGTGGTTCATTTGGCTCCTGTACATGCCAAAATTACCTGCACTTAAGAATATGGATGTAACTCTCAAGATAAAAACACAAGCAAAATTCACACTGTGCTCCCTGCACCTGCATTGCTTTCTGGATGAAGAAAATGTCTTCTATTCAGTGCTAAGAGGTTTTCATCATTCATGACCTCGTTGTGTATGTGAAAAGAGGTGCATTATTTTGTTTAGAGGGAAATCTGCCAGTCGTAAAACCACTACAGGGGGGAAAACATGTAGCCTTTCCCATTTTGAAAGTGCTAATGGGATCTAGGGTACCACTGACCCTTTATAAATTAATGCTTTTAAAATAAAACTCATTTGAGAGATGGGTGGAACTAAAAATCAAATTGTAACCAAAAGCAGAGAAATCACTTCTTCTGGTTTCTTTAAAGTGAAGAACGTTTGGCCACAGAACTGCTAAAACTGGAACTAATAATGTACCACAAATGAGAATACAATAATAAGTTTCCCTGACTGTCTTAATAACCTGAGACCATATAACTGCATTTTTTGGCTTTCCTTTTGATTGCAATCAGTGTTGTAAGTGTACTGAAAAAGTAAGTATTCAGTAAAGTGAATTTTGTTGAAGGCAAATTACAATACAAATCTTGGATTGACATGTCAATTAACTTGATATATTTATTTAGCTCAGCATGTCACAGATATAACACAGCAATGTGGTATAGACATTTATTGGAACTTGGAAAGTTTAAATTTTCTGCATTCAGGTATAAAAAAAAGCTACAGTTTCTCAAAAAACTTGCAAACAAAAGATGTAAATTCCCCTTTCTTGTTTCTAAACATGTCCAAACTGGGCCAATATATAGCTGAGGCTCTTCCTATATCGATCACCATTAGTTTTACTTTTACTTTCAAATTGTTTAATGCTTACATTATAAGCACATTTTCTGGTGCAATCAATGTAATTGCTAATGATGAAAAAAATGTTGTTGATTGCTGCCTTAAATGGGAAACTGCTCTTTTTGTCGAAAAGCTCTTTAACAGACATAATTTCTTTCTATTCTAAAAAGCACTATAAATTATTGATCAAAGCACAGCCTGTTCTAACTTAAAGAAAGGACATAGCAACTCACCTTCCAGAAATTGTCGACTTTTCCATAAACAAGTGACTGATTCTGCCTTTTAATGACATTGAAATGCTTGATGTCACTGGAATTAAGATACTGTTCCACAACAAAGCCAAGGAAACTATTGTCTGGAGTGTGGGCTGCAAATCAAACAGAAAATCATCATTATGCTATCATGATGCTTCAGCCTAAAAGGCAAAAGGGAAATGTTTTGCACATAACAAGTGTCTAGAAGATGTCTTACACTTTCAGTTTACGTTATATTGGAAAAATAGTTTTTTTATTATTAGATGATGAAGAATTCATTGCATATAATGTTACTACCAACCGCATTCAGTGATGGTGTGTGTTGTTAAAAAATTACTAGTGATTGGGACAACAACCAGTCCAAGTATAAACGAAAAGTCAACAGTTATTCGTGCATAGAGTAAATTATTTCATCTCACCTCACAACACAATGATGGAGGTTGGGAGACATCTTTGCCGGTCTCCCCTGGGGAAGGGGCCATGATATTTCAGAAACAGGAGTTATACGGCAGCCTAACACTGACACAAAAATAAGTCAACCCAGATTTTTTAGGCTGGCTTCTTGACTAAAATTTCTAGACTTATACATGGGTAAATAGGATAGGTAAAATAAAGTGGCCCATTTCTAATCCCTCTATGTGACTTATCTCTTTATTTCCATGATTGATCTATAAATTACCTACTGAAAGCAAATGTAGAAAAAAGTAGCTTCAAAAGATTTGCAATTGTGGTACACTCTGAACTTGATGTAGACATCCTCAGGAAAAAAGCCAATGTAAGAAAAAAAACATTGGCAGGGCACAGTTGATTAGGAAATGACATAAAGTTTCAATATTCCTTTATAACAACACTTGTTTCATAAAACTATACTGACACCAATGTTGTATAGCCTACAACAAAATTATAAATTGAAGTGCTCTTGGTTTTTAGGTTTTATTTTGGTGATAACACCAACATTCCTCTAGCAGATACATAACCCCTTTCCTCAACAGCCAATGTTTTTGTAAACAAGGTTAACTTACGAAACATTGTGTAGAATTGCTGTGGATTAAGGTTCCATTTCCCCCAGGGTGTTTTGTGGCCTTTCGATTGGGCGTAATGAGCATGGTTGAACTCTGGCTCAGTCCCAAATGAATCCAGCACTCGCAACATACACCTGAGTGAAAACAAAGGGGGAAAAACAACAACAGAAATAGCTATTGATGACACCATTTTCAGAAACTGAAACACAAAATAATTGGCTCTGATGTTTTTGAACAATAAGATCAGTCAATAACCATATGTATCCAAGATTGTGTATATTTACTGAAGATAATTGGTTATCTACAAGAAAATATGGCAACGAATTGCTTTTCATAGCAACACAAAGGTTCAATTCAAACTGCAAACACAGAAACTCGGGGACTTTAATGCTCAGTTCTTTCAAATTTGAGGTATTATTGTTCTTTCTTTTAAGTGTCTATTCGCAAATGATCTCAATGTAACGGTAATGATCTAACAACAACAACAACAGCAACAACAACAACAACAACAACAACGAGATTAATGATATGGCACAAAGGGGATTGTGGAGTGAAAACACTCTCTGTTACAGTATTTTAAGTTCTATTGCTTCAAGGTCTGCACAATTTAAGAAGAACTGATCGTAAAAAGGAAAGCCGTAACTTTCATGAGCACTACTGGTTTCATCATTACTTGTGATACACAAACGGCTAGGGGAAAAAGAGATCATTAAAAAAAGCAATCTTCTGCATTCAGTTAATCAGAATATTTTTATCTGAGCACAGAATCTCAGAGCAATTAATATACAGAGAGAGGTATGACAAATATGGTCCAATATGACAAGACAAACTGTGAAATCATAAGGAAACATAGATGGCATTAGTTCAGCTCGTTAACTCAAATCTTTATGCCAACAGTTTTCAATGAAAAAAATCGACAATTATTTTCAGATTATGCCAAGAGCATAGAAATAGAGCCAAGAATGATATTGTTGTTGTTGTTGTGTGCCATCAAGTCATTTTCGACTCATGGAAATGCCAAGTTGCTAAGGGGCTTTCGTGGCAAGATTTGTTCAAAGCAGGTTTCCCTTACAGAGTGTGCCTCTCTCGCCGAGAGGGTTTCCATGGCTGAACGGGGATTTGAATCCTAGTCTCCAGAGCTGTAGTCTACTGGTCAAACCATTAAAAGCTTTATACAGAAACAATACAAGAAGCAACGAGATTATAAAGTGCAAAAGAAAGTGGCATCTGAATAAAAACATTCACTTTTAAATCACATGCTGGACGTGGGATGATTGTTGAAAGATGAAGATTAACAATATGGCTAGCCTGAATTAACTATCTGAAATACAGTGACAGGTTATGTAACATTATTTTGCTCACTGCTTTGGAACAGAGGACAAAGAAGTGAATCACCCACAGTTGTAATACAGGCACAAACATTTCTTAAAAGAGAAAAAGCTAAAATTAAAGGAAGGTTTGCAACACAATTCCCAATGCAGCATCACTACTTTTCATTTCTCTCCCCTCCCCCCATACCATGACGCTCATTGGGAAACATAGATTCAGATGAAAACTGTACAACATTTAATTCCTCCCAATAAGTTAGTAAGTTAAATAGCCCCTATTGAATTCCTTGATGACAAATAAATCAAAAGCACCAGCAGCCTTAGAGGTGCATGGCCCCTGACCAGGCTGGCTAGGAGATTCTGGGGCTGTAGTAACACAAAAGTCACTTTCACAAACTCTGCATGCTGCATATATTTCAAATAGTTAACTAATCTAACTAGCTTATCAATAGTTAGCTGTTATTCACTGACTGGAAGTGAATAGTTAACCAAGTTCCTCTCATGCTCAAAACTAAAGCTCGTTTTGAGTATGAAAGCAGAGCAGCAAATAAAAGTTGAAATACGCACTTCATTTACTTAATGTGCTGAGAAAAAGAAGATGAAAAAAGTTTCCAGTTTTTTCAGACAAGGGGTAGAAGAAAAAAAAATGATGGCCAGTTGCATCTACTCAGGACAAGCTTTATTTATTTATTTATTTATTTATTTAGAGCATTTCTACCCCGCTCTTCTCACCCCCGAGGGGGGACTCAGGGCGGTTAACACAGGCAACAATTCAATGCCAACAGTATCAAAACAATAATATAAAACAGCAATATAAAATCAATTACATAACAAAAACATTATGCTTCCCTTACTAAGTTACTGATTCTGTTGGATTGCAATTCCCACTGATCCCATCTGGTATAGGATGGCAAGGAATAATGAGGATTGCAAACCAAAATCATTTGAAGGGTCACAACTAACTTATTTCTAATCCATGTACTCATGTATTGAATATAGGAAAAAAATGCAGCACTAACAGCACCGTTTAGAACATACTATCTCAAACATAAATCAACACCCTATATTTGTTTTTCTAGCATGGATATCTGAAGAGGGGTGAGGGACTGGGTGCCCCAATGATGTGCAGCCTATAAATAACCAACTGCTCTTCCACATGATTCCTTTTCAGAAACAAGAACTCAAAGTAGAAGTAAACAAGGGACATGACTCCACAATGAATCTAGAAGCACAGCTGGATTCTTGCTTCTACATGCAAATCTCCTACATAAGAATAACACATACAGAAGGAGAACAAGAAAAGCAAATTCATAATTGGGAATGTTTAAGGAAAAGGTTGCAAATTTCCTTAGGGACACAGATATTGTTGGCAAACCTTACATTGGCATGTGCCCAATAATTAGAGATATAGAAGTTTGGGTTCAAGAACTTCTGACAGGCCACAGATAGAAGTACAATTCCCTTTTATGGAACAGAATGTTTTATAAACATTATTCTTAAACGTTATTCTTATAAGAATTGTTTATAAGAATACTTACTGATAGTGAACCCAGGATGGTCCAAGGGTTTTCTTGAACTGGGTGAGTCCAACGATATCGATGTAAATGAGTTCTACCACTCTATCACCTTGTGTGGGGCAACCTGATCTGTTACCAACAACCTTCTTCATAATCCTAGTTATAAAAAAGGAATATTTTTTTCTGTAATTTTTCTGCATTTACATTTAAGATTGGAAATTAAATTTGGTTCTACCAGTTATATTTGAACCCTTTCTACTTTCAGAACGACTAACAAATCAGCTTGTTTTAATAGAATTAAAGGGAGATTCTGATGCGGAGTCACTGCACACTAGAAGTTGGGGGCAAGAAGGACCTTGATCCATAAATTACACTGATGAGCAGTAGAAAAAGTTAGTAAGTTGTTTAACATGGCTTCCGTGCCCTCATCTCCTCAAGGCAGTCTCACACAATATCTCATGACCTTTTGGAGCTACAATAATTTCCAGAATAGCATGGGATACAGAGAAAGAAAACTGATGCAAAACATGGAATAATCTGAAAACAGCAAGACATGTATAGAGCACCTTTGGCCAAGATCATATTTGAAGCTAGATTATAGAACTAATTCATTACAAATTATTTCCCTGTATTTGATTTGTTAAACTATTAAAATATTGATTTTAAACATAACTCTTTCAATCATTAAGAATTGATTACATTTTTCTGCATAAATATTACCACTTTTCAGTAATTTGTTACTGATTGTTTGTATGATTTTTTTTATTTAACAAATTAGCTGGTGAATCAGTTTTATGCATTTTTTTCTTAAAGTTTCTACATTTTAAAAAATCAGATTCTCTCAGAAATCTTGATATTACACATTAGCACTAATTCTAAGCTCTGCTGTATGTGACTTGTGGTATAGCATGCCAACACAGACAGCCTAATAACTGACTTTGAGAAGTTAGTTATTCTATGAACTATGTGTGTCAAAGAATAAAATGCCTTCTGTTCTCTCCCTGTTGTGGTGACAGATGGTCTAGGTCAGGTTCATCTTTATTTTTTAAGGAGGACCTGGTGGTGCATTTGGACAAAACGGTGAATGAAGATTCTACAGACTTGTGCTTTAACACTAATGAGCTGTGCTTTCCTGCATGTTTTCTATTTGCTCTCTCTTAGCCCCTTTCAGATTGCAAGATTACAATACAAACCAGGAAACATTTTTTTACATGCTGCCCGCAATAGAAATGCTTGTTTGCTGCCCCCAGAGAAACTGATTTGGTAAAGGTAGAACAAACCTTGATTTGTGATCCCAAATTCTAAAGCCACCGATAAACCAAGTTTCCCAATTTAAAATAAGTACCATACAAATCCTTCCAGGTATATTCAGGGATTATATTCATGGACGGGAGCAAAGTAGGTACATTAAAAGCTTTCTTTTTCCACATTTAATGCACTCTGAAGTACACTTCATACACTGATCCTCCTGTGTTTACACACACTTTTTCATGGGAAAGTGAAAACTGAAATACCCTTCAGTTAAGCCAGAGGCTGATTGTGAATAACTTGGTTTTTTTTTAAAAAAAAACATAAAGGATTTAGCTTGCCATGCCCTCCAGCCCCAGAGGAAATATGCTGGCCTTGTTTTGTGTTAGTACTAGATTCACATTTTGAAAAGTACCCTGAGGTGTAGCTCCATGGAAATTTCCAATTTGGTTTCTATACAGCCCTCCAATGCTGCTGAGTAACTGCAACTTGAAGAATTCCTTACCCCAGACATTGCTAACAAAGGGCCCTTCCACACTGCCTCTTTATCCCAGGATCCGATCCCAGATTACCTGTTTATTTATTTACCATATTTATACCCACCTTTCTCAACTTTAAAATAATTATAAAATATCACGGTTATCCCACTTTTCTGGCAATGGGGACTCATATATTCCAGTTTAAAGCAGATAATCTGGGATCAGATCCTGGGATAAAGGGCAATGTGGAAGGCCCCTAGGCTTGGTGAGAAATGCAGTTCTGGGACATCTGGAAGGCTGCATTTTACCCCCTACATACTATCACTTTATAGATGGAAAACCAGTATATACAATCCTGGAGAGTGCAATTTAGGCCAGGCTTCAAAGTGCATTAAATATTGGAAGGGTTCCCATTTAATGCTCAATTTAAAAGAAAAGGATTTCCCTCCTGAACACTACTCATGCTTTATGCAAATGTTACCAAATGATGTATGACTAACTCTTCCATTTGACATGGTAAACATTTTAATTTGATATGTTGTGTATGCATGTGGTACCAAATGCATTATTATCAAATGCACAGATACTTTGCACAAATATCTCACCTCCGGAGATTAATAACCTGTCTTAATTTACAATGGAAAAAAACCCCAGAGAAATGTTTTCATGCTCACTGGCATGAAACACTTCACAGTTGAAGAGCTCTGGGGCCATCTCAGCACGTCTCCCAGGTGCCTATTCTCAAACACTTGTTCTATTAAATTGCATTCCCCCTTTCTGAAGAGTGGCATGATTAAGTTGGGGATTTTCCAAACTCCTTCAATGAAATATTTTAAACCTATCATTTTGAAATTATGGGCGACAGGCTACAGAACAGGACCTTCGAAACAACCGATCCAAATCCCAAACCTGCCTCAAAGAATAATGACTCTCCGAGAAATTAGCCACAGCCAATTTAATTTACTGATAACCCATTTCTTGTTAGGAAATAAAGTTCATTTGAGAGAACAAGGCAACAACTCAGAAGAGCCAGACATTTATCTTTCCGCAGATGGCTAACACACCTGTACGGGAAGAGAATAAAGTGGCTTCATTTGAATTTCCCAGCATTATCTAATCAAGCTCAGGAGGATGAAACTACAATGCAAGCATATTATCTTTTTTACAACACATATATTTAGCTTGTGAAAATTGCTGTTTAGTGAATTATCACTTTCGTTTTCTTTCCCCCAAAATTACAGGGTGTGCAATAAAAGCTTGAAAAGAGTTTACAGTAAAGGGAGGAGGTTGTTGGTACTCAAGCTTCAAAATGGAAAATAATCTCCTTACTCCTTCAGTTCGGCCAATGAAGCTGAAATCCTAATGTCATGGCCAAGTAAATAGAGAGATGTAATTAGATCACTCCACTGGACTAATTCTCCAAGAGGGCCTCCACTAAAGGCATTCTCTGCAATTTTGAACCCAGATTCTTTTGTGAGTAATCCAAGATGGACAAGAACCTGAAAAACAAAGCCAAATATAAATAAGTATAGAGATGACACCCCAAGAAGAAACTCTTTAGTCATGTTAAGGTTGCTGCTTTTTTTTACATGTTAACAACCAACACATAACTATAACAGAATTTTTCATAAATAGCTCCAGTTACTAACCATATTTTATTTATTTATTTGATACACTTGTATACCGCTAATATCTCAGCCTAGAACGGCGACTCATTGCGGTTTACAGCAGTTAAGACAACAATGTTAACATTTGCACACATTATGATCTTTGTAGCCCATTTCAAGTGGTCTAAGCATCACACAGATTTTTTAAAAATCAAGACTTTTTTTGTCTTATACTCTAAGAGACATAGAATCATAGAATCATAGAAGCAAAGAGTTGGAAGAGACCTCATGGGCCATCCAGTCCAACCCCATTCTGCCAAGAAGCAGGAATATTGCATTCAAATCACCCCTGACAGATGGCCATCCAGCCTCTGTTTAAAAGCTTCCAAAGAAGGAGCCTCCACCACACTCCGGGGCAGAGAGTTCCACTGCTGAACGGCTCTCACAGTCAGGAAGTTCTTCCTCGTGTTCAGATGGAATCTCCTCTCTTGTAGTTTGAAGCCATTGTTCTCCTAGTCTCCAGGGAAGCAGAAAACAAGCTTGCTCCCTCCTCCCTGTGGCTTCCTCTCACATATTTATACATGGCTATCATATCCCCTCTCAGCCTTCTCTTCTTCAGGCTAAACATGTCCAGCTCGTTAAGCCGCTCCTCGTAGGGCTTGTTCTCCAGACATTTTATCATTTTAGTCGCTCTCCTCTGAACACATTCCAGCTTGTCAATATCTCTCTTGAATTGTGGTGCCCAGAACTGGACACAATATTCGAGATGTGGTCTAACCAAAACAGAATAGAGGGGTAGCATTACTTCCCTAGATCTAGACACTATGCTCCTATTGATGCAGGCCAAAATCCCATTGGCTTTTTTTGCCGCCACATCACATTGTTGGCTCATGTTTAACTTGTTGTCCACGAGGACTCCAAGATATTTTTCACACGTACTGCTCTCGAGCCAGGCATCCCATTCTGTATCTTTGCATTTCATTTTTTTCTGCCAAAGTGGAGTATCTTGCATTTGTCACTGTTGAACTTCATTTTGTTAGTTTTGGCCCATCTCTCTAATCTGTCAAGATCGTTTTGAATCCTGCTCCTGTCCTCTGGAGTATTGGCTAGCCCTCCCAATTTGGTGTCGTCTGCAAACTTGATGATCCTGCCTTCTAACCCTTCATCTAAGTCATTAATAAAGATGTTGAACAGGACCGGGCCCAGGAAGGAACCCTGCGGCACTCCGCTAGTCACTTCTTTCCAGTTCTTTACATAATACCAAATGAACAAGAAATCAGGAAGGAAACACACAAATAAAGTTACTTATTTCTGAACTAACACAGTGGTCTAAATTCTATTGTTAATCCAGTTAGGATAGAGTCATTGAATTGATAGGATATACCTGTCAATCAATAATCTGTTCAATGGATCTGTTTTAGCTTAGACAAACAGAATTCATCAGGCTAGCTTAATCGTTCTTAAGATGTGGGTGTGGCCATTTTTGGTTTTTTTTTCATGTCAGGAGCAACTTGAGAAAGTGCTTTTAACAATCTGCTCCTAATTTATCTTGTTTGATTTGCTTGCTTAAATTGCTTTGCATTTGTCATTTGCTTCTGGCGTGAGAGAATTGGCCATCTGAAAGGATGTTGCCCAGGGGACACCCAAATGTTTTGATATTTTACCATTCTTATGGGAGGCTTCTCTCATGTCTTCGCATGGGGAGCTGGAGCTGACAGAGGGAGCTCATCTACACACTCCCCAGTTTCAAACCTCCAACCTGTTGGTCTTCAGACCCGCTGGCACAAGGGTTTAACCCATTGCACCACCGGGGGTTCTGGTGTGGCCATTAAGGGAGTGTAATAATTGCTTGGGGGGGGGGGCACAAGAAAAATGAGAGAATAAGCTGGTACTTAACTTCAAAATGGAAAATAATCTCCTTACTCCTTCAGTTTGGCCAATAAGCTACTTTCTCCTTCGGTTTGGTCACCTCCTTCTATTCCTCTTCCTTCTTGAACTCATTGAAAGCATATAGATACCAGGGTGACAATAGGGGAAGCCTGTCTTTTCTATACATACCCAGACATACATTCTGGCTTTATTTATTTATTTACTTACTTACTGTATTTGTATACCGCCTTTCTCAGCCAATTGGCGACTCAAGGCAGTTTCCAACAAATCAGTATACATAAAACATAATAGATAAAAAACATTAAACAGCATAAGCATTATACTGGTGGCCTATTGCTATGCTTTTGAGGAGTGGAAGTCACCAACATTATTTACTTGCATAAATAATTCGAGTAAATGGGGTGGGGGGTGGGTGGGGTGGCAACAGCCATCAGGAGGCTCTGGCATGGGCTGGTCCATAAAGTCATGAAGAGTTGGAAGTGGCTGAACAAATAAACAACATTTACTTCAATGCAGTTTAACCCAAATAATTTCTCAGTGCAACAAAATATCATCTGAAGATCACTGAAGCTTTGAAGGTCAGGAAGCAATTAAAATAATTTGTATGCTTGAAAGTGACAGAATTGCTCTCTGCTAAGACACAGTGTATGATAAACATGTTCAATCAGCCCTTACTTTACCGTGACTATATAACTGGAAGCATTGCAGAGATATGAAGTCAGACCATTCATTCCAGTGGTTTCCCTAAACACACAGAGTAAATGCTTTTCTTGGGTATTGATATCAAACTTGCCTTCTTTCGTTTTCTTTTCTCCAGGTTTTGTTTTTCAGCAAGTGACTTAATAGCTTCTATCCAAGTATCAGCCATCCTCCGTATTCGTAGCATCATCCACCGGAATTCTTCATGTCTGGACATCATTTTGTATAGCAAATCAAAATTGGTTCTGATTTCGGCCTTCAGTTAAACAAGAAGTTGAAGAAGTGAGTAAAACTGCAAATAGACAATTTTATTTATTTATTTATTTACTTTGCTTGTATACCGCAGTTTCTCTGCCCGTAGGCGACTCAACGTGGTTCACAACAAGATCAAAAAGTCAGTCAAACAGCATATAGTTTAAAAACCATTAACAGCATAGTATAAAAATAATAACACATCAATAACAACACATTAACGTCTCGTAACTAGAATCATGGTCCAATTCATCATCTGTAATCATTTCCTCTATATTAGTGGTTCTCAACCTGTGGGTCCCCAGGTGTTTTGGCCTACAACTCCCAGAAATCCCAACCAGTTTACCAGCGGTTAGGATTTCTGGGAGTTGAAGGCCAAAACATCTGGGAACCCACAGATTGAGAACCACTGCTCCATATGAACCCTCCATTAAGTATACATATATGTGGTGTACAATTGCCAGACTGTATTTATTTTTATTTCATTCTAGGGAAAATTGCATAAAATTACAGGAAGAGGCCAACATGAACAATTGTTAGATTATAATACATTTTGAGGGCAGACCTTATTGGCGGGGGATGGGCGGTGGGGAGGCAGAATCTAAAATAGTTCCCTGACTACTGTACATATATGATGTACATATTTTATAATATGCATGTGTTGTGGTCACACTTTTACACTCAAAATAAATGTTTAAATATTAAAAACATGATTTTTTTTTACAAGAAGGCATCATTATAATTTAATGTATGAAATAAACTAGTGTATGCCCCTTAAACATTTCACCATCAGACAAAAATTCCAATTTATTACACTTACCTTTAGATACCATAAATATACTTTATGATCTGGTAAAGACATTTGCTGTGGCATGGATTCTACAATGGCACATCGGTCTTGTAACAGATTGTTATGTGAGTGGCTCTACTTTCAATCCAACTGCTGAAGCAGGGGACGGAAGGGGGGCAGCAGTGGAAGGAATATCCTGACTCTCAGTTCCTTATTGATTTAATGCCTGACTTCATGGCTAGGGGTATGTTAAGTAACAGAATGGGAGAGGGAGGCTTAAACCCAAGGCTTTATTAGACAGAGTGATCTGGATAGAGCCCATGTAATGGGACAGAGAATTTTTAAAGAATTTCTCCAATACTGATTGGCTACAAGAAACCACTTCCCTTCTGTTCCCACCCAGCAAGGAAGTCAAAAACAACAAAACAGAAACAAAAGCCTTCCTCTTTGATCTGCCATCAGTAAGTGTTTCTTCAATTCCTCACCAAGACTAGTTTCTTCTTGCTGCCTCACCACCATTATCTTTGCCTCCACAGAGCCAACAAAATGTTGGCTTATATATATTGTGAAACACACACACATACACACAAATCTTTGCAAAATTGTGCTTCTCCCAGTGTATGTTCAAAATGTTTTCAAGAAAACACCAAGAGGAATAATATGATAGACTGATACCAGAATTACTGGGAATGATTTGGCGTTATTGTATTCATAAACAGTTATTATCCCACAAAAGCTGAAAATGTTTCATGAATCTAAAAATAAAACACCAAAGCCCATTTCACTACGAATTCTGAAAGACGCAAAGCATACTTTCTCACCATTGTCTTTTGATCAGTTTCTTCATTAGGGTTTTTTGCTCTCCAGGGTAAACGAGGACACCAGTTTTCAACCTGCAAAAATGGTAATCTTTTGTTAAGCTCAGCTTCAATTGACATTTCCTTGAATTGATCCTTTCCTCATTTGCTGGCAGCCATAACCGAACAATACAAGGTCAGCAGGTGAAAAAACAAAACTATGCTATTTGGCGGGACTATGGGAACCACAACAGAAGTACAAAAGATGCAAAGACAGGTTAGCTATGACAGGATCCTCTCTGACCTTTTTCAATGAACTAGCTGCCTTTTATTAGTAGATCAAATCTGTATGATGACATTTTTAAAAAACAGATTGCTCTGAAGCTTTTAAAAGGTTGCTGTTAGAGAACCAGAATTATCAGCACAACAAAACAATTGGCAAATGGGAGCAGCAATAACATATTACCAACTATAGAAAGCAAAAAGAAACCACAGTGAGTATCCAACAACAAAGAACTGTAATATTAAAGATATTTTCTTCCTTTGCAGAAAAAAACAAACATTAGTCTAAGCAAAAGACATCCCCTCTAGTCATACCTTAGTTTAACCCATCAAATTGCAGGATGTCATAAATACATTTTCCTATTCTAATGGATTATTCCTAATGGGCTGGATCTAGACTTGGCCTTAATAATAAGAAAGGCAAGATGAAATCAATGGAACTTGAATCATGAATCCAATTTCAGTGGGTGTTTTCCTGACTCACTCTGCATCCAACTCCCAAGTGAATGTGTCAAAACATACACAGAACCATAACAACAAATATGCTGCTATATATCCCAAATGTATTTTCAGTAGCTTGTTTGGCTCAGTGCAACTGCATGATGCAACTGCATAATGTATCTGTGGGCAAGCTATGGCCTGTGGACCACGCATAGCCACAAATACGGTTATTATTTTGACCCCCCCCCCCGGCTTTCCAAGTGATTACGACTTCAAAATGACTTTCTGATGAGCATGAAAGGCATTTCTACTATATGAAAAAATGACTTTCTGATGAGCATGAAAGGCATTTCTACTATATGAAAAAAAATGCAGTCAGCCTTCCATATTTTCTGGAGTTAGGATCCCCATGAAAGTGAACCTCCCCCCAAAAAAAACATAAAAACAAAACTGCTGGGTTTTTTTAACCTGAGAGAACACTTTCTAGGAATTTCTACATTTTCCTGCATGGCTCTATGGTCAACTTCTTCTGGGAGAGGAACACTGAATAACACTGAAGGATGAGATTACTAGAGAGGTGCTCCCTCTATAAATCTCTACGTCGCCCAGCATGACTGGTGGAGGATGACTGTAGAGGTAAACTTGAGGGCTTAGAGATCTCTAGAGAGAACATTTAAAAACAAAAATGAAAATAATCAAATCCACAAATGTCAAAACCACAGCTGTGGAAGGACAACTGTAGACCTAAGAGATACCTTGGTCCCCTATCTGTCTAGGTCTCTTGACGAGCTAATGGGGATCCCTAGTCTTCCATAGATGCTTACCCCTATAATAGCTTCCACTGATATTGGATCAAATGCTCACATGCAAACATGGTTTCCAGCACTATATTATCAAACTTTGTTTGCCATTTTAAAAAATCAGAATATTCATTTTATGTAAACTATAGTGCTGCCTCAAAAATAGAATGGTGTTTTGTTTTCTTAAATGTTAAATAACATGTCAGAATGATAAAGATGATAGTGAAGATTTTTAAGTGTGCTTGGAAACTGGGTGAAGTTACACAAGCTATATTCATCCATCGGGATTTCAGGTCTGCTCAGAAATACAATAATCTATACAATGTTCTTTTTCTGGAAGGAAGGGATGAGACAATGAATAAGAAACATTCCTGATGGGCAGATTTTATATTGCCTAGATTCAGACAGAAAGAACAGCCAGAGGAATAGTAAGATGCAACTGTCTTCTTCCATTACGTCTAAATGCTTGAAAACTCGACACAGCCTATTTCAAGTGTTAAAAGGTTGATTCTTCCATTGATTCTTTTCAAAAACTAACAAAACCAGTTGTTGATTTTGTACAATAAAGCTGCCAACCTCAATGAAGCTGTGCAACTTCACCCAGTTACCAAGCACACTTAAGCATCTCTACTATCAACTTTATCATTCTGACATGTCCCTGCAGTTTCTCAAGTCTCTCCTGACACACACACAAAACAAAAACTCCAGTTATTCTTAACATTTGAGAAAAGAAAAAAAACTACGTTATATTTTTGAGGAAGCACTACAAATTCTAACTCATAAGCATAGCCAGAAGTCACTGTAATTCATTGTAGGTAGAGCACTAAGTTGAAGTACAGAACTTCTTTGAATAAGATTGTTCAGTGACTTCATAACTTCTTTGCTCTTGTGCACTCCTGAAAATATTAAATACTTTCAAGTGCTTTTTCTAGTAGCTCTCCACTTTCAAAATTCAAGGGATAGAAAGAAAACCATTCCCTACATTTAATCATAGACTGTATCATGGTCCTGTCTGAACACCATAGAAAAACGCCAAGCACTCACAGGCTCAACAGGCTGTCTGAAAGGGCCTCCTATGTGTATACAGCTGCACATACACAGGGATTCCTTTAATGCATCCTTTGAAATTGATGAAAATAATCAGGACATGAAGAAAAGCCTATAGATATATTTTCATTTGACCTTCTACCCTTTCATTCAGTGCATGTTCAAGAGACACATGCAAATATACTTCAGGTTGAACTACCAGAGTAGAAGCTATTTTTGCTTCCTACTAAATTAGTTGCCAGTTAAAACAGAATGTTATTATGTCCTGGGGTCACTATAGATAAGCTGGTAGAAGAATCATCATCATCATCAAAAAAAGAATTGTCTCCAAATTCAAAGTTCAACTGCTTGGATCCAAGGAAGTAAGGGGCAGCCCATTGTCCCATCTAGAGGGTTTCCAACTGGGAGTGGGCTGCTACTGTTAAAATGAAGTAGAAAAAATTTCCTAGAGCTCCTCTCAATCCAATCCATTATATTTGAATATCTGGCTTTAATCATTAATCTGTACCTATATCCCACCTATTTAAAAGAATCCAATTACACTCCTTAGGCTGAGACATGACATAATAGAAACGAAACTTGGGGAAAATATTCCAGATAAAAGAAAGTATCATTTCACATTTAGAACTGGCATGTTTTTCATTTTGTTCTAAAAAAATGGTCCTTGTCAAGTGTGCTTTTGTAATGTTGTGGGGGTTGCACTGGCAATGTTTTGACAGCAAGCTGTTACAGGTAGATGCATGAGTGAACATAAGAAAATGTACTTGTTACATGTGAAGAAAACTTATCACCTGCACTCAAAATGCTTCAGTATACATTCCACAAGCAGTCAAAAACCTTGAATGATAATATCACACAGAAAACAACATCACAGCAACAATGAAATAGAACCAATGGTTAAAAGTACACTTGAAAGTCCACTCGTTAATATTCTAAATGCCTACTACTATCAACATTGCTGCATCAAATGAATGTGGCTATGGGCCTATATGCTGAAAGACACTATAAAAGCCAACTTTGATTGCTTTCATGGATGAGAGGCCACTGGCAATTTCACCAGGCACAGAGCCCTGTGAGGCTATGCATGGGGTGGGGTGGAGGTGAGGAAGCAGAGATGGATGGTCTTGTCCATCCTCTCTGTATCCTTTTTGACCCACCTCCGATGCAGCATGAATATGGCTTGTTCCTTTGGGGCTGGGTAAAAGCTCTTTCTTTACCTGTTGTTTTCTCTTTTTTTGGCCACTGTTATCTATGTGTTATCTGGAGGACTGTGGCAATTGACTTAGGTGTGGTATCTTTAAGTAGGCAGTCATTTGGAAGTTTTGGAGTAGGAAGGAAAATAAGGGCTATAGTGAACACCGTTGTAACATTTTGGTAAAGAGGAGGGCTTTGGAACTGCCTCTTTCGCTCCTGAGACCAAGGGGATGAAGAAGGAGATTGCGTTGAGAGTTGGCCTGGTATTGAGTTGAGCTGAAGGCTCAGATGGTTTGCTCAGGGAAAGGGTGAGGAGGAAGTCATAGAGTGCTTCAGCTGGTTCTGAACAAGGTTGCCCCCCTCTCTTGCAACTTCCCATGGTTCAACACACTTTTTAAAATAGGTTCTAGGTTAAATAAAGGTATTACGGTATATAGCTAAGTTCCTATGGGATCACTACTGTGTATGTGTTAAGAGAAAAAGACTCACCCTAGTTGATTACAATTCACAGTCTGAGTAATTGGGGTAATTAGGTGAAGTTTTGGGACACTTCCGAAGGGGTAAAAATGGGGATAATTTGCTGTATATTTTTGGGCTTACTAAATGTTTGCCTCTGCGCTTACTTGATGTAAGCTCCTGGCTTGCAGCCTATTTGACGCTGACAAGTTTGTCTTCTATGCTCATCTCCATGAACAAGAAATGAAGATTGGGAGAAGGCATGTTTTCTGATGGAAAGCATTGCATGAATTAAATGCAAGGGCCATAAGTGAGTTTTATACTCCAGAGGAACTGTGACTGTATTATTACTATAAATTTTGTGTTGAAGTTGGGTTTTTTAAGTGAACTCTGCTGCACAAGAGTAAAATTTGAGTTTTCCGTTTCTTCTACATGTGTTGCTCATTTTTCAATGTACAAAGGACTAATTTTCTGCTGGTCTGCATACAACATCAAACTGCAACAAAGCTGACTTTATACCATCCAATTCTTTATTCTGGTTTCATTATTCCATGGTTGGTCAGCAATAATTTTGTGGCAAGACAATACTTATCTCAAGCTAATTTGAGAAATACTTATGCAATGTTTGCATGATGATTATACTATAATGGCTATCTACTTAACAGTATTGCTTCTTTAAATATGGACATTTTTATTTTGCCTTAAGAGATTGTTTAACAGTATTGCTTCTGAACACATTGATCCCTGGAATGTCAACCATCATAATCAATAGGCTGCCAAGTTTTAATGGGAGTTTTCAAAATATGAAGGACTAAATTAGAAACAAGGAAGCAAAGACGACAGGAAACACTCTATAAACACTACATCGAAAAGGGA